TCTGCTTCATGGAAAAGTTTGGGGGGGTTGTTTTATTTAAAACATCTTTGCTCACTACATAAATTGGACATATTTAATCTCAGCTGTTTTGGTGCCAGACACTGATGGCAACTCACAAATGCTAAGATTTTCCCTTCCATTATTACAAAGGAAAGCCTGAACATTTTTCTGATACTGGGTGATCTGGTGACTCAGAAAATAAACGGAGCCAACCCTCACTAGCATGGCCAGTAAAATGAAGATTACATTTTATTAGTCCAGCCCCCTCTGCAGACACAAGGACGCTAGAATGGCCACAGAAAACAATCTCCATGGACACTGAAAGGGCCCTGACACAAAATGGAGCGGTATTTGGGCACCACCTACATACATTCCCCCACACATCTTAAACCATTTTCAGATTGTTACTTAACCTGAAACAGTACAAATGGTTGTTTACATTGTACACCTTACTAAACCTAGCATAATACAATGTTAATATTGTATACCTTAGAGAATAATAAAGAGGAATACATTTGCATGTGTTCAACTGGAACATTTTTTCTGAACATTAAAAAATTTAGATTTATTTTTATGTGTGTGTTTTGCCTGCATGTGTGTGTCTGAGGACCCATGCATGACTGGTGTGTATAGTGATCAGAAGAGAGCATTAGATGGCCTGAGTTACAGATGATTGTAAGTCATCATGTGGGCACCCAGAACCAAACCCAGGCCTCTGCAAAGACAGCAGTGTTCTTACTCACCGAGACATCTCTCCAGTCCCTTTCAGAACATTTTTTCTTTTCTTTTCTTTTTTTTTTTTTTTTATTGGATCTGTGGTTAGCTGAATACATGGGCGTAAAGATATTGGACCAGGGAAGCTGGCTATTGTTGAATTATAACAGACTATGAGATGGCAAGAGATGTAACTCAATTAGTAGAATGCTTGCTTAGCATTCATGATGCCTTGGGTCCCATTCCCCAAATCAACAAGTCTGCTGTCCTAGTTTGGTTCCTGTTGCTGTGATAAACACCATAACCAAAAGCAACTTGGAGAGGAAGGGTTCTCTTACACGTTAGAGTCCATCATGGGGGAAGACAAGGCAGAAACTTAAATAGAAACTGAAGCAGAGACCATGGATGGATGCTGCTTACTGGCTTGCTTCCTGCTTCTGCACAGATTATTTGTTTGTTTTGTTCTTTTAATATACCTCAGGTCTACTTGCCCAAGGATACCATCATCCACATTAGGCTACCGCATGCTCCAAATACCTGCATCTTCACACCTGTAGACATGCTCACAGGCCAAACTGGTGAAGGCAACTCTTTCACTGAGGTTATCTCTTGTGCTGAGGTTATCTCTTGCATGCTGTGTCAAGTTGTCAACAAAGATTTGCCACCACTTCTGTCATAATGACATTTATCTATAATCCCAATACTCAGGAGTTATAGGCAGGGAGACCAGTAATTCAAGGCTATCACTTCATAGTGAGTTCAAGATGAACCTAGACTACATGGGACCTTGACAAAGGTAGAAAGAGAGGGGAGGAGGGATGGAGGGATGGATGGATGGAGGGAGGGAGGGAGAAAGGGAGGGAGGGAGGAAGGGAGGAAGGGAAGAAGGGATGAAGGGAGGAAGGGAGGGAGGAAGGGAGGGAGGAAGGGAGGGAAGGGAGAGAGGGAGGGAGGAAGGAAGGGAGGAAGGGAGGAAGGGATGAAGGGAGGAAGGGAGGGAGGAAGGGAGGGAGGAAGGGAGGTTCCTACACAGTCAGAACCACTGACCAGCAGCACCCACATTTTGTAGGAACTTATCAGATATATAAAGCTTCAGCCACACCGAAGACATGCTGGATCTGAACCTGTAATTTACCAAGGTCCACTATGATCTACTCTAGACAGGGAATGACAGGAAGGATGCACAGGGTCCTTCCAGGGGACTGTCCTTGTCTCTGAAAAGAGAGATATCCCTTCTGCTGCCTGGAGTCCCAGCTGTCACCTCATATCCAGGGGATGCTTGCTTGAGGATCAGGGCAGGAAAAAGAAATGGCCTCATTAAGCCAGAAAATCACCTGCCTCAGAACTGACTCTACCTCTGATTAGTTACATAATTATTTCCTTCTAGCAATTAAGCCATTTGAAATCTTGTTTTATTGTGACTTGCAATAAAATCATCCAAACCGATTCTTACACAAAGCACAGCATAAGACAAATAAGGCTTCCTGAAACAATTCACAACCATCCCCATATAAAATGCAAAAGCCAACAACTTAATTTCAGACGTGATTTCACCAATACAAAGGGGTGAAAATACATACTATTTAAAAGCTTGGCTGGAATGGAATCTCCTCTTGCTCCCGAGGAGCAAGGTTTCTAATGTATGTATATTTCAGGTGCCAGTGGCCTTATCAGTCCCATCTCTCCACAGCTCTAAGACTTGCTTACAGGACTCTTTTGATCAAACCTGGCAAAGTCAATCATGGTGTTGTTTTAAGAAATCAATACATCATAGACAAAACCCTTTTCTTTTTAGTAGAAACAGGACTTTGAAATTGCCTTTCCTTGGTGTTGTCCTAAATCCTCACTAAGCCCTGACAAGGAATACAACAAAGCTCAGAAATGTCTGTCCAATTAATAAAAATGTGGTTCCAAAGCCAGGCTTTCAATTTTGACAGAGTATAAAATTAAGAAATATATACAAATGCAAACTGAAAACACTACAAAGCAGAGCTGAATATCAACATCAAGGTACATCACTCACTGTGTTGGAGGGTTGCCAAAATTAATGATGACTTTTTTTTTTCTTCCTGACTTAATGAGAGTCACCTTGAGACCTAGGTCCCTGTCTAAAGCAAACAAGGAACTTATTAACAATGTGAGTAGCTACAGAGCCCCTTCACCAAGCAGTCAAGCTCTTGTCCAAAGCCAGGCTGTTTCCTTTATACTTTAATGGGTTTGATTAACTTGTTTAACTTGCTTTACATAAACTCAACCCAGTTCTATTGGCTATGGGGTGGTCCATGACTATTTGATAGTAAATATGGATGCAGAGGCTATTATAGCATCCAGGGAAAACGATCAAGTCCACTAACTACTTTATCCTAGTGATAAAGCAGGGTTAACAGGAGAGTTGCACCTTTTATAGCAGAGTGTTGCTTTAGGAGCACAGCAAATGCAAGCAAAAATAGAAGGTACAACATTAACATTTATGACTGGTATGTATTGGAAATTTATGTAACACCCATATATGTTATTCTATTTCATTTTAATCATAATACCACATGAGAGATGCTGTGGTCCTATTTTCCCAAATCTAGGATACCATATGATGAGCAATTTTTTATATACCAATAAGAAAAAAATTTCAACCAACTAGAGTTATGATAACCTTTTTTGTAAGATGTGATTGATCTAAATTCCACGAAGTCTAACAATGGGGCGGAGGGGCAGTTACAAAACTGACAAGGAGATTTGCCTGAGGCACAGATCCACTCCAGCCTGAAGCCTCCTTTGCTGAGCTCGGCCTGACACACCTGTGCACAATGGCTGCAGTCCCTGCCAGGTCCCCAGCAGTGCTGATGCATGAGCTCCTCCTTTATCTGCTACGGCATCTTCTCTGCTCTTGTGCTGATGCCCAGGTTGATTCTGGAGCTGCCCAATGAATATGGCAGAACCTCTGTTCCAACCTAGGTTCCTGAACGACTCTACGCAGCACAGCCCCAACCCTGAACCATGTGCAGAGAATGTCACTTTTTTACTTTGGCACAAGCAAAGCACTTTTTTTTTTTTTTTTTTTTTATGAAACCATTATCACCCTGGAAAATGTTCCACATAAGTCAAATTGCTCTGGCTAGGACAGTGGCTGAATAATAATCTGAATGTCATTTTCTAAATCCTGGGCTTATTCTGTTGTACCAGGCAAACCTAAAACTCTAAACTTAACCCTCTCTCCAAATTTAAACATACAAATAAAATAGTTACTCATTTCATTTTACCAAAAGGTTTCATCACCTGTTTTTAATGAATAAGCAGTAATGAAAAGATTAAATATCAGTATAGTTTATGGATAAAGTGTGGATAAGGACAACAAAAGCTATGTGTATGTCATAACAGCACATTCTCAAGGGAGCAGATATAAGGATGGAATGATTTCCAGAGTGGATTTAAGCATCCATGCATTGTACTTCTTCTGTCCAGTTTAAGTCATGTGCAGTTTGCATTTCAACAAATAAGATCCAGGAGGCTGCACTAGTCCTGGCCTGTTGTTGGAATTTTTTCAAAGTAAGAATGGCTTTGTTTCCTGAGAGGCCAAGGAAAGGAAAGGTAGAAAGAAGCATGGCTGCCAATAGATGCCAAAGAGGAAAAGACAGAAGATATGAGGGTCACAAGGTCTGGATTCAAGAGGAGAAGCTGAACTTGTCTCCACCATGACTAGGTGAAGCAGCCACAGCCTTGGATGATCATCTGGCTTCTCTAACATCAACTCTCATTCACAAATGGTGTGCTGACAGAGCTCAGGTGTGATAAGAGTTAAATGAGGAAAAAAAAAAACGAATTTGCAAGCAGAACGCAGCCCTAGCAGTGGAGTGAGCATGTGTGCTCGCGCTCTCTCTCTCTCTCTCTCTCTCTCTCTCTCTCTCTCCACCTCCCTCTCTCTCTCTCTCTCTCTCTCCCTCCGCTGTTACTGCACTTGTCACTAATTATCAGCCTCCTTTTCCCCGCCAGGGGCAAGCCGCCTGGTGTGCCTCAGTGTAAATCTCGTCTACACAACAGAAAACTCCTTAAAAGAAAATCTCCCTTCAGTATGAAACCACTGAGGAGGAGCCTGAGCAGGCTTTCAAGTCTGACAAAATTGCCTGCTGACACGCCTTGAAGGAGCACAGACTGAGAAAACAAGGAAGGGATGTTTGGTCCACCATAATCCAAGTCACTTTCACTCAACTGCTGACGTGCAAACAACACACCTTTTCTCATTGCACAATATGAAAGGAATAAACGAAATTAAAACAGAGAAAAGATCCTACCCTTTGCTTTTCATTTGTTCCCTTTTTATTGTTCTCCTTTTTAGTTTCATCTTCATACACGAGAACAAAGTCGATCCGTCTCTGGCCGTCGGTAAAAAAGAGGGAGTCAGGTTTCCCGTTAAATTCTTCCTGTGAGAAATAGAGGAAAAGCAGTACTGTGAGTTTTTGAAAAGGTAAAGACTGATAAGTGTGTATCTTCTAGTTTACCTGAGTTCAGTGATGAGCTTACGGAAAGAGAGAAATAAATTGGTGCCTAGTTACCTGATCGCCACAGCATTATCTGTTCTTGGGGAGAGAAAGTCTGTGACTTGAAGAGCAGGAGATTTGCCTAGAATGCTTGGGAATTGTTAGTATTAAGCATGAGGCACAATTGCCCCAGAGTCTACCTGTGCCCCAGAGTCCACCTGCCTGGACAGCAGAGGGGAGTCAGGGTTGGACAGGAACTCAGTAATAAGGACTTGCTGGCTGTGGGACTAAATTTTTTACCAAGAAGAGAGGTATGAGACCTAACACTATTGATGGAAGCCTCATCCTTTGTCTCTTACTTCCTCATTTTTAATTAGTTTTCATGACACACCTCCGGAGGTCATCGCTTCCTCCAAGGTATCATTTTAAACAAATGCCAAAAGTAGCTGCCATATACACAAAGCCACACCATTGGGGTTTGTCTGCAGATCCACAAGCAGTGCCCATAGGAAACAAATTTTAAAACTTGTAAATATCGATAGTAACAAATTAAATGCACCTTCAATTAATAAAAGTTTAAGGCCTAAATTGTATATGGTGGCTCAAGCTACTATATCCCAGCACCAGGGAGACTGAAGCAGGCCAGCATGGGCTACAATGGAACACCATGTCTCAAAAAGAAGAGTGGGTGGCAGGGGGAGATAATGAATATGACAACAAAGTAAGATATTCCAGCAGTAGACCTAATATGATCGATATCTCTCTGAGCCACCTCCCCCGCCCCCAACACACACACATGGACATGGTTGTTTTAATCTACTGTAAGGAGTCTGTGTTCTCATAGCCTATAAAAAAGTGCTTATGGTAACTTCATTGTTTAAGAACCACACTGCTTTTTAACTGGAAAGTGATAGTTTAAATTTTTTCCCCATTAAAAACAAATGGGGGATTGTGTTTCACAATCATTGGATGGAGCGACTTGCATGATATGTTCATTATACTGATTAATTCTCTTGTGCAGTCAAGCATCAATTAGCACAGAAAATCATGTGATTCTGCTGCCACCACACCATCTCCTTTTCTTCACACTTCTGGGAAGATGTAATCTTTGCAACCCATAAAACCTCATGTGTTCTTCCTTTCCTCTCTCCCAACAGCAGCCTGTGACGGCTTCTCACTGTCACTTTCTATTCATCAAGCTACCCCACCTGAGGAAGCTGCCTCCATCCCCACAACCCACTCAGCCAGTGGTTCTCAACCTTCCAAATGCTGTCATCTTCTAATACAGTTAGTTCTTCATGTTGTGGTGACCCCTCCCAACCATAAAATTATTTTCATTGCTAAATCATAGCTGTTTATTTTGCAGCTGTTATGAACTGTAATGTAAATATCTATGTTTTCCGATGGTCTTGGGCAATCACATGAAGGGGTCTTTTGACCCCCCCAAAAGGAGCTATGACTCACAGGTTGAGAATCTCTGCACTAAGGCTGCCACAAACAGTATGGCTCTGCCTAGGAACTGTTCTTATCCAGGACACAAAATGTCCAGGGAAACAACCCTGGCTTAGACTGATGTTACTGCCCTCTTTTTTTTTTTTTTTTACATTTGCTATTTCAGTCACTTAAACTAACAAACCTTAAAAGTATAGATATATAAAAATGCTAAGTCCTGTGCTTTCCATTTCAACTACAGGGCTTTTTAGTGTTTTTGCATCTTTTCTTTGATGAGGTTTTTACTATGGGTGATGGCCAGGGCAGCCATCAGGGGAAAGGCCCCGTGAAAGAGAAGACCAGGAATGATATCTCAGAATGGCAATGGTAAGTTGGTAGTGTGCGACAGGAAAGCCTGGTGATCATTGCAGACATCTGAGACCTGGGGAACCTTCCATGGAGCTGAACTGAAGTGCTGAAGAACCAGGCCTGGAGTGGGCAGCACCACAGTGTAAGCCACACACACTGGCCAGGCAGGCACTGCCCCTGTACAGCGGTACAGGCTGGCAGCTACTTCCCGAATCAGCCAGTGAGCACAAAAACCTCTTGTGTGGAATACAGGACCATGGCTCATTGTATGAAGAACCCAAGGAGTTGGCTACAACTAGCTATGTGAAGATAATGGTGAGAATCTGACATGGAACTGTTAAGTTTAGGATGGACTTCCAGAAAAAGGGTACCAACTTCCTACTGTTGGAAAAATCCAAATTTCTCACCTCTTGACAGAAGGCATACTACTGGGCAACTGGGAGGAAGAAACAATTAAAATTTAAAGAAGTTGATCTACGAACAGAACCATTTTGTTTTGGGGAACAACAACAAAAAAGTTGGATTTTTCAATATAAATTTCACTTACAGGCCTAACTCATATAGCAGCCTGTTAAAATGACAGGCAACCTAAAAAAATTCATTCCCAAAGTTTTACTTTATGTAGAGAAGGAAATTTTTAATAGCTTTTCAAAACAAACTTTGATCATCTTTTAAGTGACTGAAAATTTAAAGAGAGACCATTCATCTCTGGCCACTGTGTTCTCTGTTGGTATTGACTAGATTCTAGGGTTTAGTCCTTTTGCCTGAGTCAAGTACACAAAAACGAATAGTCAAAGAGTCAAAAATTGTGGCGCCCAGTGATTCCTGTTAAGCAACTGAAGTTTAAAAATACTTAAAGGAAAGGCCTACCATCCATTTGGTAAACTTGTTTTAGAGCTAAGAGCTTGTGTGCAGTTATTGACTTTCCCACTGGGAAATTTAATTCTTATGCTCATCAAGGTGACTTCTTAACTTTTACCCTGAGAGTCTTCAGCAAATGTTTTCAATGCCAAGGCAATAAACATCCTTTTTAGTTTTTATGATTCACCCTTCTTCCTGGAAAAAGTGTCCAGGAACTTTCTGGTTACAGTGTCATGTCTATAATATATTCCATCTTTTTGTACCAGTAGGGAGGAAGGCCGGTGACAGTAGGGAGCAAGGCCAGCGGTGCTCAGCCACATAGCATTTCCTAGGTGCCTCTCAATCTGACCACTCTCGTTCTATTTGCTTTCAAAAAATATAATTCAAAAGGCAGGATCCTTAGTCAAATCTGAACAAAAAGAACTGCACATCACCTATGGGCCAGCAAAGATGGCTCAAAGGATAAGGTTACGTGTTACCTGGGTTCAACCCCTGAAGCCCACACGGTGGAAGGAGAAAGCTGACCCCTGCAGGTCTGGCTTATGAATGGAAGCCATCACGCACGTGTGTACACACATGCATGCAAATACATAAAATGTACAGGAAAAATACCAAATGCTGGTAGCAAAATTACATTGTTCATGGATTGTTACAAGTTCCCACAGCTCCTTCATGCATACTTCATTTGGGTGAAGCCTTCCCGACTCCTCATTCCTCCAGCCTCATCACTCCACTACCTGCTCCACTCCTCTGCTCCTGCTAATTCCCTTTTTTATTTTCGCTTCATCTAGATTCTCCTATCCCTCTCCTAAATGCGCCCCTCCCCTAGGATGGCCCATTCCTAGTGTCCTGGCTTCCACGTGTACTCAATGTTAAACACACAATCTCTGAAGCTAGGACTCACATATGGGAAAGGTCACATTGCTTCTGTCTTTGGAAGCCTGGGTGACCCCACTCATTATAATTTTTTTTCCAGTGTCATCCATTTACATGCAGATTGCGTTTTTCTTTCTATATGGACCACATATCTATTTGTCAGTTGACAGACCTCCAGGCTGTTTCCACGTCTTAGAAATTGTGAATTGAGCCTCATAGAACATGGAGGTACAAATACCTCTGTAGCAGGATATAGAGCCTTTGTGATGGTGCCTAGGAGTGACATAGACAAGTCATACAGAAGAAGGTCTGTGTCTCGTGTTTTGAAATACCTCTACACCACTGCTTCTCAACCTTCCTGACACTGCCACCCTTTCACATGGTTCTTCATGCTGTGATGACCCCCGACCATAAAATTATTTCATTGTTACTTCATAACTGTCATTTTGCTACTGATAAGAATTGCAATGTAAATATCTGTGTTTTCTGATGGTCTTAGGTGACCCCTGTGAAAGGGACCTTTGATCCCAAAGGAGTTGTGACTCACAGGTTGACAACCACTGCTCAACACTGACTTCCAGAGTGGCTGCACCAGTTTGCACTCCCACTAACAGTGTGGAAGGGTTTCCTACATCTACACCAGCATTTGTTATCATTGTGTTTCCTGTGGATGGTCATTCAGATTGAGGTCAGATGGGATCTTAAGTGGTTGTAATCTATATTTTTCTGATTTCTAGGGATGCTGAACACTTTTTAAAGTGTAAGCAACCATCTGTATTTTGTCTTTTGAGAACTCTCTATTTGGTTCCATCACCCATTTATTAATAGGGCTGTTTTCTTTGCATTTAGTTTTGTTTTTTTATTCTACATAAATTCTAGACACTAATCCTCTATCAGATGTGTATCTTGCAAAGATTTTTCCCCAGTCTTGGGCTGTCTCTTCCCTCAACTGACTGTTTCCTCCCCTTCCATCCTCCCTCCTGCCCGCCCCCCCATACTCCCAATTTACTCAGGAGAGCTTGTCTTTTTCCCCTTCCTAGGCAGATCCTATGCAAAGACGCTTCTTATGGCTGGTAGTGGTCAACGTTGAAACCCATTACTGTCCAAAGGGCTAAGAGTAGGTGGCTGTGGCCACTTGCCATAGATAGGACATCTATATAAGCCCCTGCCCAAGGCCCAAGGAAAGTTAGAAGGAAGGATCCAGAGGATATTGTGGGGTGCTGTGAAATTCTGTCCTCTGGGTAGGACATGGCTTTAGGACACATGAACTGAATAACAACTATGGCTAACTATATAAGATCAGGCCAGTTAAATATTCCAGCATGATGCTGGGGCAAGGGGGGAGATAGGACATAGGTAATGGGGGGGGTCAGAGACTATCAAGATACATTTATGGATCTTGAATA